GCCTGCAGTTGAGTGCGCTGACGTCGACGTCGGCGTCAGCGTCAGCGTTAATTGTGATTGCGATTTGTAGTTCATACTTGAGATGACCTTGAAAAAGTTTAGTAACATTTCGCACTCTCTATATGTATGTACATATGTACATACATTCACATGTATTTGTGGCCGGCAGCGCTTTCATTGCCTGTGTGTGTGTGTCTCCTTATGCTGCCGCTTTGTTGCTGTTGCTTTCACTGTTGTCGTTTGTTTTTGGCACCTGATTGGACGCCGGCGTCACTGCCGCTGCCTGCGTACCTGTTTGCAGCTGCGCAGCTGACGTAAACACACATACACATACACATACACATACATATGCATGTGGGCAATCTCTGAGAGCGACACAACGCGTATGTATATTTCTAGGTTATGGTCAAGGCGACTGCGGCGTAGACTTGAAGGCTACACACACAGTAAAACATACATACACAACGCACACACACACACACACACACACCAGAAAACTAATTGAGTTTCGCGGGTCGAAAAATGTCTGTGATAATTTTGTTGCTGCTTTCTTTTGCTGTTTTCATTTGTTTACGCATTTGACCGCCATGTGACGCGACGCGATGCTTCGCACGAAGCTAACGCAAAAAAGAGTTCCAAATAAAATCCAGCAACTGCGCAGCTCGCCTAGTGCGGCTGATTAGGCACCGATAAAGGTGTGTTGAACTCTGCGAAAGTACTTAATATGCACATACACGCGAACATTTTTGTAGACATGTGTGCGGGCAGACTAGCGTCTACAGCAAAATATAAGGTACAAACAAACGGTATATTTAAGTGCAGGTAGCAAAAATAAGTACCTAAACATGTTCGCTCTCTTTCTCTCTTTGTCTATGTATATCTCATTGGTTTCGTAAAATTCGCATGGTTCAACCAAATAAGCAAATGTGTACATTTTCTTATTTACGCAGACCACAGGCATACACAGGCAAACTTTATTTTCTGATATTTCTCTAATTTTATGTTGTTTCAGTAATATGTTTACTTCAAATGCCATAATAAAACACACGTAAGATTGCGCGCGCGCAAATTCGAACATGCGTGAAGTTGGCTGCGCGCAATTTTCGACTCACGTGAAGTTGGCTGTGAACGCGCGTTTTTTCTCATCAATACAAATATTTAATACACATACTAAATATGTTAAATAAAGTCAACTTGTAATTTTTCCTGTGAGACGTTATTTACATGATATTTCGAATTTGATACTTACAAGTGTGCGCATTAAAAATTACACATACTGCAAAATCACTCCGTGAGTATGTTAAAATTTAGTAAACGTTTACCAGCACTACGTTTCCATTGGGCAACGCTGTCGCGTTTTCAATTTGTTAAACAACTTGCCGATTTCAAGCATACGCACAGCGGTGATAATCAAATGGACAGTGAAAGCAATAACAGCATGGAAATAGATGCGGAGAGGCCGGATAAAGTTGCTGGAAAAGTCTCGCCGCCTGTGTCGCAACGCTCAGATGGTGAGTCCGGCAAATATTCCTCCGCCAGTTTTTCAATTTTGATTTCCGCCCATTTTCACAGACAGCGACGGCGAACCGGAGCCGCAATGGCACTGGCGCTGTTTGCCCATTGAGTCCGTGCATCGCGGCTTGCATCCGTTCGAACTGGATCACTTGAGCGCCGTACAGCCTGGCGGCCAGCACAAGGTGCTGTATCGACATCCAATACGCGAGCCGGCTGTTGAGCCGCCGCGTCCGTTTCGGGCGCCACATCGTTGGGATGCCGACCATGTACGCCTCCCTTGTGCCGCAGAGAGCAAATATCCAGTGGAGGCGGAGGACGGCACATCCGACATTCAATCGCGCTGGGGCATGATAGAGCGCGCCCTACTACGACCGATAAGCAATAGCAAACAGTTGCAGGCGGCAATTCTGTCCTACAATACCACGTACAAGGGCCAATGGAGCTTTCGTGCGCTGCACAAGCTATTCAACGAGGAGCTGGACGAAAGCGAGTCGCGCGTCTTCTTTGAGGATCTGCTGCCGCGCATTATCCGTCTAGCCCTGCGCTTGCCGGAGCTAATCAAGGCACCGATTCCGTTGCTTAAGCAAAACCAATCAGTTGCCCTGTCGCTGAGCCAGGAGCAGATCTCGTGCCTGCTGGCAAACGCATTCCTTTGCACATATCCTCGTCGTAATACTCTCAAGCGCAAATCCGAGTACAGCAACTTTCCCGATATCAACTTCAATAGGTAACCGAATTAGGTTTGGGCATTGAGAACAAACTATTTACCATATACACAAATACATATATACGTATGTTTATTTTACAGACTCTACCAGTCGGGCGGTGCGGCGGTGCTGGAGAAACTCAAATGTATTTTTCATTACTTTCGTCGCGTCTGTCCCACGGAACGGGACGCCAGCAACGTGCCCGCAGGCTGCCTGACGTTTGTGAGGCTCAGTGGCAGGCCGGAGGATGAGGTTAACTGGTATTCAAGCGGCGCGGTTCTGGCCAGCATACCCATGCATATTAATGCTGGTGGCACCATTGAGGATCAGGGCATTGGTCTGCTGCAGGTCGACTTTGCCAATAAATTTCTGGGCGGTGGTGTGCTGGGCCAGGGCTGTGTACAGGAGGAAATACGCTTTGTTATCTGCCCGGAGCTTCTGGTGTCGAAGCTCTTCACGGAGTGTCTGCTGCCCACGGAGGCGCTGCTGATGGTTGGCAGCGAGCGTTACAGCAACTACACGGGCTATGCGAGCAGCTTTGCCTGGGCTGGCAACCACGATGACCGCACACCCTACGACAGCTCGCGACGTCGTCACACGGCTATTGTGGCCATTGATGCACTGAGTTTTGGCCAGGAGCTACAATCACATCAGTATCGCGAGGAGCTTATGTTGCGTGAGTTGAACAAGGCCTCCATTGGATTTAGGCACTGGCTGTCTACTCCGCCGCCGGGCGTGGCCACCGGCAACTGGGGCTGTGGCGCCTTTGGCGGCGATCCGCACCTCAAGGCGCTCATTCAAATGATGGTCTGCGCGCACCATTGTCGTCCCTTGGCCTACTATACATTTGGTAATCGCCAGCTGCGCGACGATCTGCACGTGCTCTGGCAGCTATTCCGAGCACATGGCACCACTGTGCAGCAGCTCTACTCCGTGCTGCGTCGCTTCAAGAAAGATGGCGGCAGTAAGTCGTTGTATCCATTTGTGCTCGAGGAGCTGAAGAGGATACACAAGCAGCCAGCCGCTCGACCAAAGGAACCAGCTCCGGCAGCAACTCCAGCTCCAGCTCCAGCTGCAGCTCCAACTCCAGTTCCAACTTCAGTTCCAGTTACAAACGCAACAACACAGCAGAGTCCAGATCTATTTGCCGACTCGGACTGTTCGCAAAACAATGGTGCTTTAGTGTCGGATGATGATGCCGAACAGGAGCAGGCCAATGCCATGATGCTGGCTGCAAGTCTTGAGAGCGGCGGTAGTAGCAGCAGCAGCATCACCACCACTACCATCACAACCAACAACAGCAACAACCAAACTGCAGCTGCAGTCGCTGGTGCTGCCAGTTCTCCAGCCCATGCCAGCGGCAAGCGTCAGCAGACGCTGCTCGAAATGCTGGACCGGCACTACGATCAGGGACAGGCCAACGGCTCCAAGCGGCAGCATCAGTCAACAAATGCGGACAAGTGCGGCAAGGCGCGTAAGGATTGCAAGGATGGCGATGCGAGCAGCGGCAACAATTGCCGGCATTAGACACTGCCCGATATGCCTGTATGCTATAAAGCTAAATCTCACAGTTGCACCCTGTTGCCATCTCTTTCGCTTCGGTACGACTGCTATTGCTTTGGTGTGGTGTGTTCCACAAATGGTATATGCAGTAAGGCATCGATTTGTAATCATCTAAAGTTTACATACATGTAGAGCAATAGATATATCTATATGTACATATATATAGATATATGTCTGTAGTGCTTAGCCTATTTATTCACAATCAGATTTTTGTAGGTTGTCTCTCTTTTAAGTGTAGTTTAATATGACACAGCTGTAGTTGAAGTTAATACACAATTTGTAATTACTTATGGGATAAGCTATATATTGTATACAGGATCTTATAACTAGTTTGTTTGTAGACCCATATATATTTATACACCAAATTGTTACTAAGTTTTAGTTCTAAAAAAAGTTGTTTATGCTTTTAATTTGGACGCTTCTGCATCAGTTTGCGAATTTCGAACGAAATAGTAACAACCAAATTAGACTTGAATTTATCCAACGACTTTTTTGTTTGTTTTTTAACTAACCTGTTTAAGTTAGCTTTACTTTGCATCTTATTCATTTTGATTACATAATTAATTAGTAATGCATCTGTGATACAAAGAAGTATCCGACAAGTTGGTGAAAACGTGTTCATATGTATTTCTATGTTGTGTGGGCTTAGTTTACTTGAATAAAACTTGTGTTAACCCCATTTAAGTAATTCCCAAACCGGGAACTTAGGAGTGTTTTGGTAGAGCAAGTGTATTTCCAACCGATTGTTCTATATGAAAAGCAGTACGACCAGGAATGTTATGAAAATAGTGAACCTTGTAATTTCTGACTTTGGTTGAGAAACAAAAATGTTTTCGATAGATGCTTAGAGCTTTATGATATGTAGTCCGATAATGAGATATTACGCATAGATAAAAATCATTGAAATTTCAAATATATATTCTCCTGTACCATACGCAGAAAAGCTATCTCCCTTCGATATCTTTTGCAATCATCATAATGGCGATAAATATTGATTTTGAGATTTGGGTTTTTAGGCAATTCTCGAAGACCCTAAGAGCTAGATCCACCAAATGGAATGGAGATAGAGAATATTTCATTTTTTATACCTCCCCCTTGTTTTTCTTTAATTTTTTAAGACTAGTGTTAAATGAAACTATGTATTTTTGTGGCTAAAATTTTATTTAACTGCAAACGTGACGCAACAGACACAAAAAAAAAAGAGTGGAGCTATATCGTGTATATAGTTATATAGGCAATATTATGGGCTTATGAGTATAGCCACGGCAATTGAAGGAGCTCAGTAGTGATTGCGGCGCTTGTTTGAGGGGCAGTACTCGGCGTACTCCTCCCAGGTGCAGCCGGTCTTGGTGCAGCACTCGTTGGTAATGGAGGGCGCATCGGAGCGTCTGCTGCGCAGCAACATGTTGGCATAGTTCACATGCAGCCAGGTGGAGGCAGCCGAACCAGCTGCGGCTGTTCGGCAGATAATAGGATGGGAAACAATTTCAATTACGATTCGCACAAGAATTTTTGCCAAAAAAAATATGCACACTGCAATTTAATATGATGTTCACGTTTACTCACGATTGTAGCTGCTCTTGGTCCAGACCTCATTGCCGCCCCTCTTACGGTTGCGCCGCGTTAGTCTGTAAATGTCCTTCTCGCAGGCCCAGTAGAGCTGGCGGACCAGCTTGTCCCGGCATCGGGAGTGCGTTTCCTGATGCCATACGTTCTCCCAATCGGATTGTGAGCTGTGCAAATTTTTGATGTTCTATTAATTTCACTCATAAAGTTAACAGCTTTGGGAATATTACGTTTATTATTATTTTTTTCTTTAATTCTTTAATTAAAAAACTTGAATTATTAATAGATATTATTAATTTTTTTTTCTTTTTTTTTTTTTTCTAAATATTATTAATATTTCCCTCGTTCATTCTAAAATGAATGTTATTATTTTTTTTTAAATTTTTTCCTTAACTATTTATTTACCTTTTGCCTATTATTTGATGCAAATCTATAAATTGTTTATTTTTAAGCTTTGTGATTATTTTTTTCGATCTTGTATTGCTAGCTTAAATAGTTTTTAGTATTAAAAAAATAACTAAGCTTAATATGTGAGTTTAATTTAAAATTTGTTCTTGTGCATTGTGGAACCTTACTTAAGAAGCACTTCGCTACTTTTTTTCTTTTAAAATTTATAATATTCGGCTGCATTTAATCGTATTAACGCCATAAAATCAAATATAATTTTGTTTGCATATTAATAAGTTATCTGAACTTGAGCATATTTGAATCAATTTTATGGCATACTTTTAGGCACCTTAACAAATGTTATACCCGTATAACAGTTTTTCTCCTAGCTTTATCTTAGCCTGAAAAGTCAGTTTGTTAATGTAAGGCGATCAGTGCATAACTTGAAAAGCACATTTTATCGGATAACTTAAAAATTAGCCTAAATCGACTTATATTTTACAACCAAATTGGGTGGATTGGAAATTAATTTGCTTTTTTGCTAATAGAAAATATAATGGCATAAATTTTAACCGTCAAGCATAAATAAAGAAAAGTAAATTTAAATGCAAAATTGATTTTGCAAGTTCGAACTAAATTCAGATGCATGTATCGAACCGTAAAGGTTTTCTGCCTATCAGCGTAACTGAACTATTGAAATGATCCAAGGACTTACCGCTCGCGAAAGAGCAACTCGAGACCCTCCTCGGTGTGCTGCAGTGCATTTGGTGTCTGGAGCAGCTGCAGGGCCAGGAGCAAAACAGCGCCGCGCAGCGTCCAGTTGCGTGGCCCTGCGGCAACTCCGCCGATCTGGCTCATGGCTCGAGCTGTGTTCTCTTGGGACTTGGGACTAGTAGGCTGATTGGCGGCTTGGCTGGTTGGCTGGTAGCTCTCGCGCTGGCGTCTGTTGTGGCTAACACGGTGGACACTGGTTGACTGAACGGCTTGCTGGCTGCGCTGGCCGGTTTTGAAATATAACAGCGTGGGGCCCAACTGGCGGCGACCGCATAATTAAATGAAACGCCCTTTGGCCTTATATTTGAACTAATGAGCCGGAGTGGAGCAAAAGCCAAGCAGACGCCCACTCATATGCAAGTTGGGCGCCAGCTAATGAGGAGCAATGGCAACAAGTGTCCTGCCTGACGCTTATTGCCTTGTTTATCTGCCCGTATCCTGTGCTCTGTGTGTGCTCTGCCCGCAACGCTGGACCCCAATTGCTGCTCCAACCTACTCCAACCTGGTGCTGCTGCTGCTGCTGCTTACCTGCTAACAAACAAACAGCATAAAGTTGACCACGTTACGATTATTTTTTGTTTGCATCGTAAAATTCAGCTCGGTATCCTCCATCTCTCCAGCAGCAGTCACACTTGTTGTCTTCTGTCCCGGCCGTGGCGTTCACGGATATTCATTAACAAATTCGCATAAATTTTGCACCACAGTGGTGCACATCTATGATTTTTTATTCAAAATATCTGAGTCTGAACTTTTAGCTTTTTTTTTTAATGTAATTTCCTTCGGGTAAATGTAGACCCAATAGAGATTTTTGGTATGCTTGGAAATGAATCAAAGCTGTGCCTCGCTTGACGCTACTCTATTTTCTTGGTTTCGTATTGTAGTTAAGCTATATTTTATTTTTTTATAGAATTCACGCATGTCTGCTAAGATTGCAAATGGCATCATTTTAAGGGCTTATATAAGAAAGGATATTTCAAGGATCACTCATTTCTTGACTTGTCGTTGACCAAAACTTTAGTCTTGGCTTGATAATCTTCGATGTTATCTACAGATCCTTCAGCGTATGTAACTGAACCCCTAGTTATGGTATTTCCAGTTGCTTGAATATCTTGCTGCGAGAAATATTATCATGGACTATACGAAGAGTTATACGAGGCACATATGTTTTTCCGATTCTAAATACTTATAATAACTTATAACATAATAAACAAAATAATTTCTTGACAAAAAAAGGTAATTTCGCGATGTTTACCTAAATATATATGGTAAACAGAAATCCAACTAAACAAAGTATAACGAAATAAGTAACAACAATTTTCATGAATTGGTTCGTATCGCGTTTCCAGAACGTTTGAATATCAGTCAAATAGGAAGTCACGGTATTCAAAATGCCTTCGCAGGCATTGCTTAGTTTCCTGTCATTGCGATTATCGTCCATGGGGTAGAGCGTCTGCTCGATGGCTCTCATCATAACGCTATTGGGATTGGCATGCTGCATTGTTTCCTTCCAAAAGATGCCGGAGCTTATGAGATAAATGGCCGTGGGATTGGTAACCAGATCGATTTCAATGCGCCAAGCGAACCGCGGCTCGGGCAAGGCTACCACAAATTGTGGTCTTATGTTCTGTTTCTCGATAACAATTACATTTTCGCAAATCCCGTCGGACTTTATGGCACCCCCAAGATGCCGCAGCTTGTCGTCTATATAGCGGCTTATCGGTAAAAGAAGCTTCAGCTCTTCATCCGTGAATATAGATTTCTTTTTCTTGGGCAGCTTGGTGAGAGGTTAACTGTTACCTTGAGAGGCGGGTCAATATTTACCTGGTTGGAAGTTTCGTTGAACTCTTTGGGGACCTCCTTAACCTCGGGTATAGTCGGCAGACGTTGCGGTGAACCTTGTTTTACTCGACTCTGCCAAATGCTTTTAGCTGGGTCAAACTTGGCCGTCATCAGTTTGGGGCTTGTCTCCGGCTGCTGCTTCTGCGTCTTGGCTGCGTTTCCGGTTAGAGTGAACTTTTCCGCCTCCTTCGAATTCTCGTCGTCCTTTTTGTCATCCAAAAAAGAAGCGTACTTTTCATAGATGCATGGTTTAAGTTTTTGTAGCACGGCTATAACCGAGGACCTGCGCCCCATGCCGTAGTTGGGCACCTTGAACTTTGGTCGCTGGCACAGCACATGAGACACAGAAGACATCAAGTTTGTTTACCAGGGAGACCCATTCACACTTACCTGAGCCATGTTGGAATCTCATATATTTTGTTGCTTTTTAAAGGAGTTGTATTTTATGAAAATATAAAATTGACTATGTTCGATATTGGTTTAAGGCTCTAGTGTCCAGTAACTATTATTGTATTGGGAGAGTAAGAAAGTCAGAGTGTACTTAAATTTCAAATTAAAAACTATTAAGTTTATGCGATGAAATACACGATTGTTGTTCCTTACAACAAAAACTGAGTAAGAAGGTGGTTTCTATGCAAACTGATTGAAGGGGGGATTGAAGAGGACTTATAAAATATAGAATATTGAATTATAACGCAAATTTGCAAGTGATTCTACTCTTCGACATGCATTAGCCCTAGCTTTCTAAAAGTTTTGCTATACCTTCTATAAAGGGTAAGTTTTTGCTTGCATAGTCATAGTTGTTGTGCCACAGTTCAGCTGCGGTGGAGTCAAGTGGGGCGGCTGCCCACAGAAACGCAATTGCTTAGCTAAATAATGGACCTGTTTACACGTATTGCCAATTTACATGGCTAAAATCTGCGCAGGTCGAATGTCGAGTGGAGTTCTGTTTGCCAATTGGTGTTGTCCCTGGTCCCGGCTCAGTGCCGCATTGGGATTTCTTCAAGATGGTGCACCCGAAATTGCGAGGCACCGTCTATCGGTTGCTCAAGCAGTTGAGTTTTGTCTTTTGTTTTGTGAGAGTGCCAGTGAAATTTGAAGAGGTGAAATACGTATATTTCATTTCTTAAAGCTTTTAACATGCAATACTGAGAAAAACATGGAGAAGTTGTTGTTTTCAGTGTGACAATGATTGAATACACGACTTTATAGTCTGATTTAAGCTACACAAAGCCTTCGCTGATATATATTCCTATATACATATATATCAGATATATACCAAGTTTCTTAGATATAGCTTTTATGTCGCTTTATTGCACTCGAGTAAGATAGTTAGTAAGAGAAGAAGTTGACAAAACTAAAAGATCTAAGGGTTGCAAACTGATTGCACAAGTGAAAGCCTTGTGATTTTGGTTATAATAATTTTTTTTTTTAAATAATATTACTATTCTAAATATTAAAGTATTTATTTTTAACTGGCGGGTATTAGCTGGAGGGGCCTAGTTATTTTATTTAATCGTAGACATCGCGTTCCCATTTCTCAACCATTGGAAAAGCGTAACTTCTCGAAATTATCTCAAACCTACATTTAAAATAAGCATGGATATCGCCTCTAAATGAATATAATTAATTAATTTAATTGGACCAGAAACAAAAATATTGCAGTCAACCATTTTAGCCGTGGGTATAACTTTCCCAAAAGCCAAATCACATAGTTCTCATGTTTTTGTTGACGACTAAAAACAAATGTGGCCTCTGCAAATTCCGGAAAAGTGCCGAATAAGGCTGCAATGACTTTTGATATATTTTCTTGAAAATGCGTATACAGCGAATAGGAAAACTAACAAAATGAGTTTTCACAACCTTGTTCCACATATTTGCCATGTGTGTGCGACTATCAAAATCGCCGAGTTTCGGTATTCGGTTGGATAAGTTGTTGTTTTTTGAAAACACGCTATGAGTGCGATCTGGCAAAATATAGATGGAGATGCAGTCATGTAGATGGATTTACCGAGAACTGTGAAACACGTTTCCAATGAATTTGACTTTGAAAATAACTTTAATGACGATCAGATAGTAAACAACAATGTTGCGTTTCCAACAATTTTTGACAGCTGCACAAATTTTCCAGGTAAATATAGCTTGTCAGCTCGCACGGTCAGACAGCTAATCAGGATGTGGCCATGCAAAAGAGACAGTGTCTGCCGAATGCCAAAAAGTGAAACGAATTCAAGTCCATTTAGACGCAATTTGTACATATAGTATACGTTTTATTAACACAAGAATCAAATTTATGGTACAAACATTCATATTTAAATACAATAATTTACTTCTCTTTTGTGTTCTGCTGTTTTTGTTTTTTGTTTTTTGCTTTCAAAATTGCATGCCAATTTTTGTATGTAATTGTTTAATATGCTTGCATTTATGCAACTGCTGAATACCCTATAAATACGTTCATACAAACATCTAAATGAGTTGCTGATTCAAAAAAAAAAAAAAATTGTATATATTTAAAATGTTTACAATCAATTCTTTTAGTTGCTAATAATTTAGAGTTGTTTTTTTTTTTTGTTTTGTGTTTTGGTTAGGTTTTTGCTTAGCTCTACAATATTTCAATTTGTATTTGTTGGTTTGTATTGTTGGCTTGCAAAAGTTTCAATTCAAATATTGTTCAATTCCACAACTGTGCTAGGAATGCAGTAGATAACATTTACAAATATAAAATATATGCAAATTACACACGAAATCCACAAGTTGCTTACTTCTTCTTCTACTCCTTTTTTGTTTTTTTTTTTTTTTTTAACATTTTTTAGTTCACTTAGGCTAAATTTTAGTTCGGCAATGCCGAAGCCAAATAAACAAATTCGCAGTAATAAACAATGACAAAAACCTAGAGAACAAAAAACACTTATGCATTAGTCAATTGAAATATAATTTACATGCTTAGTTTTAAAAAACACATAATAATTATTTAGTATATTAATGAATACATTTTACATTTGCTTGACATTAATTATAAATTTATATATATATATATGTTTTAATTTTAGTAAAACAATTTCACATTTGCTTAGAAAATAATTTTGAATTTATTTGATGGCTCGAAGGGATAAAATACGTCTGAATGAAATGTTTTTCGTCTGTCGAATTTGAAATACCCTTGCAGATTTAACCTACATTAATTATATATATTTTTTGTGAGCATTTGTTATAGTAGTAATACCCGAAATATATATGAATCTATGCATAGTTATGTACTATATTTCAAGTTGAAAGGTTTTCGATTATGGGCTTATTAGAATTAGCCAGAAGGGCTAACAAGAGGCAAATACATATAGCTATATAGAGGCAAAAATATACTTTTTAACTTTTGGACAATTCAACTATATAAATTTCTGAAATGAAACAAATTCAATGTCATAACCATTTTGATTTGATGTAAATAATACTAGCATTAATTACAGTTAATTGGAAACAAAAGTATCTTTTGACAAGCAAGAAGAAGAATCGCTTATAAATATATAGCAGCATTACAGATCGATAAATATATATATATATTTTATTGTATTATTTATTTTGTATACAACATACTCCTGTAACAACAAACTGCAAGGGTTTAACATAAAGTGCCATCAAATTGGATACTTTATCTCAATTTTGATAGAGTATACGGTTGGACTAAATGAAATTCGTGTTGGAATTAATACTCAGGTGTGGAATATCAGCCGGAGTTTCATTTGAATGCCAGGTTGTGCTTGCTGGTAATAATATGATTTGAATTGTAATTGCATTTAACAGCATATTATGGATCTTTGCAATTACAAATTGCTTGTACATTTATTGTTTTTTTTTTTTTTTTTGTTTGTAATTTTACAACTAGCTGGACTACATTTACTTTTGTTTTGTTAACAGCACACTGTTGCTTGAAATGTTTAAGCTGTTTTTTGGTTCGGTTTTTAGGAACCTAAATATATTGGAACTTGCAACAAATGTGCACACTTTGAATATTAGTTTTAGTTTTAATTACTGACAACATTTATCGTAACCGTGAACTGTTTTTCTATTATATAGCTCTCTCTCGCTCGCTCTCTCACTCTCTCGCTCCCTTTTCATTAATCACATTGCCTTCCCCATTTGAAGCAAACATATGCATACATTTATGATATACATATACATATATATGCAGTATAAGCAATGTAAACTATTTTCTAGACACATAGTAAACGAATTTGATAATTAACATTGTTGGATTATTTGAATTCCATTTGAATGGCATGTCAATTATTACTTAAGCCTGTCAACCAATTTACCGCGTTTGTATTTAATTTATTTAGCAGCTTTTATTGGCAAATACCTTTGTGACTTTTTTGTGTATATATATAATTGGGACAGTTCAATTGTTGAATTTAATGCGACATATTTCCAATTATTTTAATAAGCTTGCTTTTCACCATTATAGACACACACACACACACGCACACATACATATGAATCCATTAAAATGTACTTCATATTAAAATTACTTATTTGAATTGAATTTTCATCTTGTTGAACTTCAATTGCGCTTTGAGTACGCAGTATTTCATTTTTCTTGTTATACGTTTTATTTCGCGGAAAGCGTACGAAATTCTCTTGAAATTAAATATGTATATATAAATTAATAAATGAGATAATTCTGTATGCATCATGAACTAGTCAAAATAAGCTACAAATGTGTCGGGAGTTCTGATGGCAATACATGACTTATCCTATGAAATGCAGGGATTTACGAAATCCGAGCACAATCTACGATAATTGGTCAGGCTTGGTCTACCAGAAACAAAAAATATATTTTTCATCCATTTGGGAGAAGCAGAGGGAGAGATAATATTAAATATATCTTTTTTTATTTTATAAGGAAATCAAAATTAAAAACAAGGAATATTATGGCAAAATATGGCAAAACAGATTTGGCTTGATCAACTCGATCAAGTGTTGTATAATTATGTGTTTATTTTTGTTAAGATTCAATTTGATATTAGCTGCTGGAATCGTTTAGTTACTTCTGATCTCTACCAAGTCTAAGATGACCCGAACTTAGACCGTGTTTCTGGCCCGCCGTTCACTTCTTGCGAGCTGCTCGCTTCTAACGGAGGGCCTATATCAATGACATACATATATGCAATTTATAATATTAATCATTCACTCAAATTTAGACAATTATATTCCAACATAATCAGTGGGAAATATAACAAAACATAAACCATTTGCGAATGTATGCACCTCTTCCATGTACACGGATTCATTAAGCTCGGGCCACCTAAGAATATCCTGAACCTAGTTCCTTTCTCTAAACAGATTTAGTGGATTTAAAATCTGAATGCAATCACATTTGATTTCATTTGTTGAAAACTTCCATAGATCAAGCATACATATTTTCTGTGAAAATATAATTCCAATTATATAGAACAATATTTTGTTGCACCAAAACAATATTTGCTTTTCTCTTCAAAATCCCTTGCTGTTCATTCAGAAGCTGTATTATACCTATTATTTTCATGTAAATATTTGTTAAGAAAAATACGTGTGAACAAATATTTAACAAACTGACGCCATGCCCGTATTCGCCCAACAGATTTTTCGGGTCGCGGATTAAACAACTATTTATTCGAGAAAAAAAAAACACGCTTAACTATCTAGTTAGGCAACGCCGAAAAAAAATAGTGTGTGAAATAATATAATGGGTATGCATTCATATGAAGTTACAATGTTTGTAATAACTGCAATAATTTTAGTTAAAAAGTGTCTAATGGAATTCTGTGGCCGCAATGCGCACAAATACACTATATATTTTCCAGAAATACCAAATGCAGACACTAAGAAAGAAAGATAGAGAGAGAGAGAGAGAGAGAGAGAGAGAGAGAGGGAGTATTAGTGAAATTTTGTTAATAGGTTAAGGTAATTTAACTTACCAGCTTACAGCATTTCTATGTTGGACGTGCCGTTGCCGGTCGCAGTTCTTGTGGTCTTTGTCATCTGCTGGTTGGTCACAATTGGCGGTGGGCTGCCGCACCAGACAACCTGTGAGGGAGCAAGATGTGCACAGTAACAATTATTCCAAGTATAGAATATAGTTGTAAGCCAACTATTTGAACAGCATTCACAACAATTGCCTACAGCTAAGATAATAATAGACGCTGCGATTCGAGCCAAGATCTTTGTTTAAAGATTTCCGAAATGAATGGGGATATCTTTTCTGTTGAATATTGCAGAGAGTGTAGTGTGGCTGAGTTTTAGAACAGGACGACGAACTGAGTCCACCGGAACCATGTCCGTTTTTTTTTGTGAAAGCGTCAAACTCGGAACTAGAGTCTCGAAATTTTAAATATATTCTACAATACCAAAATCATTTTACTTTGTTATCTTCTCCTAATTTCATAACATCAATATATATATTGTTTTTCAGACATGTTTCGTTAAGCATAACTCGAAACTTATAAAAGCTAAATTCTCGAATTTTGGTAAGTATATTGTCATATGATATACACATATGTACATATTTACACATATTAAATCATCGAATTTTGTATATAATATGGTCCTGGGTATCTCCTAGTTGGGCACTGCCGACATGAGCATCCCTATTAGTCAAAAAAAATATAATGGGAAGCCTGTTTACGCGATTATTGGACTGTAATGAAGTATTGCGCACATACAAAAAGAAATGACCTTATAACTCTTTATCTATATGCTATAAATGATACTAATGTCAAGATTGTTGCAACAATAATATAATAAAATGTTGCCTTACCTTGCGGAACGCCTTGCGAAAGTTGTCGGACAAAAAGGCGTAGAGTATGGGATTGATGCAAGAGTTCGTATAGGCCAGCACATGGGATATTATTTGTATGATGACAGTTAGATGTGTGCCTCCGTACATGTTGAGCGCCTTCAGCACCAGTATAACCTGCAACATGCCCCAATTTGTGGCAATCAATGTATTATACATATGTCAATTTGTGCATGCCATTAGTTTCTGTTCTCCATATCAATCACAGTCGCTGCTATTTCCGTTTCCGACTCCATCTCTGCCCGTGTGCATGCGAGTGTGTGCGTTTGTGCGTGTGTGTTTTATTTGGTCTCAGTGTGATTTGTAATTTGTATATTGCATTTGCAATTTGTAAGCGCATTGATTTTATGCAAACAAAAATATCAGCTGCGTCTTGGCATATTCAACATTCGAGCAAATAATTGCAACCATTTGCTAAGCGGAAATGTCAATTTACTGCCTAATGACGTCTATAACTAAGCCGAGTATGTTCGAGTTTTCGCATTTTGTATCGACTATTTACCCAGGTCTTGTCTTTCGTTCCGGTTTTCTATTTCTGTTTGTCCCACAGCCGCAGCAGCTGGAGCTTTTATTTTTAAGTGTGCGACCTTAAATGTCAATGACACTTGCTGTCATTTTTGTTTTTTGTTTTTTTTTTTTTTTAATATGAAATTAAAATTATGCTGTTTTGTCATATTTTGCATTGTAAATTGTGCTGGCTCTTAATTAAAAATTAATTTATTTGCGTACAGCATTAAAGAGTTTATTGATCCACTTTATAAATACTTTTGCGTGTTGTCACACTGCATTCATTTGTTCTTATATTTTTTCTACATCGCTCCATTTATGGAATATACATATGTAGCTTCAGAAGCGGATTAAAGCTTTACGGTAACCTCTGAATGCGGATATGTGTTGAGAAAATGAACTTGCCAGACGAAAGCTTTAAGTGGAAAGCTGGACTAAATGTACTCGTTTGACTGTAACATTTTTAGCCAAGCACATTTGTGGCGATTTACGCCCATTAAAGCTTTAGATGAAATAGTATTCGAGCTTTTAAAGCACCAAAATGCAGATGCAGCTTAAAGCTTTTATTTGGAAATCAAATACTTTTAAACTAAATTTCTTGCTAGGCGTCGCCTGTTCTAAATATAAAAGCTTTTAACAAATACATGTGATATTATAAAAATTAAATTAAGCTTTATTAAGCCAAAATCAAGAAACTATATGATCAAGCATCTATGAATCTCAAAAGCACCTAACTTAAAACAAAAGTGTTAATAAATTATATTTGATTAATATTTATTTATAAAAAAAGCTATTTAAACTTAATATATATTAAACAAAAGTGTGAAAGCTTTCTAGGTCACAGTTAGATTTCAGCAACATTAGATGAATATGTTTAGTAGATTATTAAAAGCTCACCCAAAGCTTCAAGTTTTTCACCTGTTTTGCCATTAAGCACATTAAAGCTTTTAACAAAAGTATTGATAATTATTTAATCCGCTTGCTTGTAACTGTACTTTAATAACATAAGCAGTAAATTGAAGCTGTAAGCATTAATTAAAGTAAAGTGCATTTAAAATTGGCAAATATTTTTATGAAAATGGTTGTAAGGCTTTCAGCTGATCTTTAGTGCTACTTGCAGCCAGTGTCATTGGTGTTTTCACTGCAATAATTTTAACTCAATCTGCTAACTGGTTTCCGTTTTAAGGGATAAACTCAAAGTGATTGCATATATGAAGCAGTTGGTGGTATAAAAGGTTTAATAGGATTACTTACGTGTATGGGCAGCCAACAGATGGCAAAGGCCAAAACCACAACAACAACCATACGTGTAACGCGTCGCTTGCCTTTGCTGCAAGTGTAAGGATATAAATGAGAAAAGCATATATAATATAAGCCGGCATTGGTCTATTTTGAAAATATAAACAAGTTAAATAAAATAAATATTACTGCAGTTGAGTTGGTATACACAATCTAATTTATGAACTCAGGCATTGCCAGCTCCAGCCTTTTGCGCCAAGTGCCAACGCCAAATGCACAAACGCGTCACGCGGCGTATGCGCAATTTGCATATGCATTCGATGTATTGCGCGCGTGCTTCTGTATGTGCGTGTGTGTGCGTGTGCGTGCGAGTAGGTATATACAAATACTCATTTAGAAACACCCACCACCCACACCCACGCACAAATGTACAATCAAATGCTGGGTGTGTGGAAGCAATGCAGGCATAATGCGGAATTGGATTTTTGATTTGCTGCAACAAAGTGTCACATCACGCATACGCAGCATGTGGCGCGTTTTAAAGTTGAAAGTCGTGAGAGTTCTCTAGTTGGAAGAGGTACGACTAGGCCCCAAGTGGCATTAAATTATTCTGCCAAGTAAATCTGGTTAATACAAGTGTTATTTTGAGGAACTTAATCAGTAAAAGGAACCACTAGCTATGCATATATACAGTGAAGGCTATATTTTTAAGATTTTGGGTAGAGCAGGAAGGGGTTCTGCTAAAATCAAATATTCCTGCTCAGAATGGCAAGTTTACGGTGTGTTGATTTTGTGGAGAGACAGACAAGACTAGATTAACTCTGTTTGTCACCATGATCAAAATTATATATCTTGAAATTCATTTAAAACGTATTCACACATTTCCAGAAAATGTAAACTAATTTTCAAAGATCTAACAACGAAATTTATGAAATCCATTCACATCTGCGGTAAATTGGCGGAAAACTGAAGTAATCTGCTTATCATCCAATCGGCTTTAACAACATTTCCAAAGATCCTTGTGAAAATTAATTTGAAACGTGCTTCACACTTTTTTTTTTTAAATTCGCGCCTCTTGGATTATAAATGGGGGCACGGTTATAAGGGGAAGCTTTATATTAAGTACTAACTTAAAACTAAATGAATACATGTATCAGCGGCTTTGGAAATTTGGGGGAAAATTGCAACAGGCTTTAAACACATTTTCAGAGATCTTTGTCAAAATGTATTTAATATGTTTTTCGCAAATTCCAACGCTCTTGGGTGGGCAGTGCGGTTAAATGAATGAAAGTTTATTTTTCCATTATGAGATTCTCCCCACAGTTGATTCCTACATTTGTTTCTTAAAACGACATACTGCCAGCCATTTTTGTATATTTAGTTCAGGATAAGACGGTATTTATTTTGCTACAGCGGGAATTGGGTGAAAAGTAATATCTAAGATTTGGAGCATTAAATATGCCATGGGCAAGCCCAGTAAATGGTTTTACTAAAAAAACAACTTAATTGTGGCTAGGGCTTGTACACTTTATGGGTTCGGAAATGCCCCCTTCTGACTACTACCTATGTTTGCAATCAACCATTATACCCTTTTGTCCAATTCTAATGGGCGAAGCATATCAAAACGCAATTTGGATTGCCGAACGCGACTCGCAAAGTCAAAATATTTGTTTACACAACACCCATTATTTTGTGTATTCTTCTTTTATGGTATCGTTCACTTGATTTTCAGCCAGCTACTTTTTAAACTTCCTGGCTGTCAATTAATATTTCAGGTTAAATAACTCTTTGATTGAGGGTAACTCTAAAATTGAGCCGTGTTTGTGTACATTAGCAGCAAATGCATATTTGGTTAGATCAATTAGCCTTATATTGGCACTGGTTCGTTTTTATTACGTCATCTGCCCATTAAAAATGAGTAAATAAGGCATATCAAAGTTGTGTTACCTAACTGATTTTTTGTAAATGTTTAAAAGCGTTTAGTTAGGGAATTGTTGGCTGTTATAAGATTTTGTTCGATATGTGCGCACATTTCTCTTTACCCTATAAATCTCTTCAAGCATACGAGGAATTTAAGGTTTATTTATATTCCATCTTTATGCCCTTAAAATGTCCAAAGTGATTGGACAATAAATGCAGAAGTTATTCAAGGCCGAATTTTTCACAGTGCAGAGACTAAGAAGAAGCACTGAAGTTGCCTAAGTGAACAACTTGCAGTTTCTGTGTTTCTCTGTGTATTTGTATTGCGTGTATGTATGTATGCATGCATGTATGTTATCGTCTAAACATTATGTTACGGCAGGTTCAATACCCTAGTCAGGGTGTCCAAAACAATTGCTAGCTAGATATAATAAAAATGTGAAACAAATTTATGTAGCAATATCTAAGAAAGCTAAGCTAAGAAAGTAGATGCTTCTGCGCAGATTTTTATCTAGATTTAGCTGAATCTGTCGCATTTTAGATGTAAATACTCTCCATACTCTCTCTAGCACAATAAGTATACCTAAATATATACAACGTGGTCGTATACTTTAAAGTTAAAGCGAATGATTCGAAATGAGCGATATAGATCGAGCTTACTGAATTATATAGAGTTCTGATTATATACAGATCGAAAGAAACCCTCGGGAAGAATTTCTATTCTCCGTTCAGTTGTACTCATACCCCGTTTAGCTTTTATTGTGGGTACAGGGTATGCTTCTTGTTCAGATATGACTTTTTACCTACAACATTTCAAAGAGTCGTTTTTATGACATTTTTGTGACAACATTCGAGCAAAAAAGTTGCGCTGATATAAACCTTTTTTCTCGTTGAGATTGAAAAACGGTTTTTATGAGAGTTTTTCGCTGCGAGATCAGAACTCATAAATTAGTGAGAAATGCTATTCACAAAGTTATAAGGGTAATAAAGACAATAAAGGCTAAAATTTCGGGTGCTCAAGCTTCAATTAATTATTTACAAGTTTAACAGTTTTTACAGTGTCTAACTAAAGTGTATTTATAATTGGATGTGTATAGGAAAAATTTTATGAGTGAATGGCAACAGTTGGGCGTTAGAGTTGGCAAGGTATATAATAATCAAGAGAGAGAGAGAGCAAGAGAGAGGGAGAGTGTGTACTTAAAAATTTATGAGCAACGCCCACGAAATTCTATTCGGTGTTTACTCGATGGAATGCCTAAGCGTAAGAAAAGAGCATTCATCATGTCGAATGGAGCAGGTGCAGCTGCCGCCATGTGTTTCCTTTCGTGTGTGTGAAGTAAAGAACAAAGAAAACAACGTGCCTTTTGGCTCGTTATTTCAATTCCAATGCCAAACCCAAGCATGAAGCCTCTCTTTTAGCGTTTTCTGCACAGCGACACGTGGCGTATGCGTAATATTTGTATGCCTATCTTAACTCACCGAGACTCGGCCGATGGCTTGCAGCCGGGCGCACTTTTCCACAATCGTGCCAGCATGCCCATATATAGAAAGCAAATCAGTGTCAATGGGGCCACATACGATGACAGGAAGAATGAAACCTGCAAAGAAAAGCAAAAGGAAATGCGTCAGTGGACAATAATCAAACAATGCTTCAATAAAAATTTTAAAACTATGTTTAACACAGCGTACGCTCTTTCATGTCTGCTTTAAAGCAAGGGCTGGGGACGGGGGGTCTGTTACAAATTTGCAAAGTATTTTACTCGTTTACGGCAAATGCGAGCAGTTGATGTGGCTGTTAAATAGTTAATAAAAGTACCTGGAAGTTGGAAACAAGTTGAGGTGGAAATATTTGCGTAATTGTTTTTCAGAATTGAAATGTTTGGATATGCATAGGCTTATGTGCAGCTTATTTCAATGCCTGAGGTGCAAATTAATTACTTCGCTTTGAGTTAAGTTACTCAGATGTATATAGAGATTGTTCAAATTGTCGGTTCATAGATTCGGCTAGCTAATCTAGCCTACACCGCAATCGAAATATATTTTTTCAAATATTCAAAAAATTAAAAAAAATCATTTGGTTCAAAACTGGCCCAAAACAATGGTTTTTTGCACATTTTACATGCACTAGCATAAAAAAGTTGCAAAGCTCTTCATCTGTCTTTCAAATGAGTCTATAATTACGACGTGAGTGCATGCAGATTAACATATGGCATGACCGGAAAATGTAGGGAAATACATATATGAATTTTATATGCATGACATCGTAATCTATAAACATTATAAAAAAAATGTTACATAACTCATAGCATTACCTTATATTAAGCATATTGCTTTCAAATTAAATCATTAATTTTTTTTATGAATTTAAGGTTTTACATGTGCAAGTATGCATGTGTTAGGCATATATGTATGTATACGTGTATGTATGCATGTATGTATGCATGTATATATGCATGTATGTATGAATGTATGTATGAATGTATGAATGCATGTATGTATGCATGTATGTATGCATGTATGTATGCATGTATGTATGCATGTATGTATGCATGTATGTATGCATGTATGTATGCATGTATGTATGCATGTATGTATGCATGTATGTATGCATGTATGTAGGCAGCTATGCATACTTGTATGTATTTTGTACGTGCATGTATTTATGTGGGAATGCATGCTTGTATGTATATATACAGTTATGTCTGCGACGTAAGGGTGCAATTAGATGAGGCTAAAAAATCCTCAAAACGGGCAAAAAAATAGGTGCATGACGCTGGCATATGAACATGTAGGGACGGCCAAGCTCCACACTGACCTTCCAGTTCATACTCGAATCTTCTTCTCTATCAATATGTCGTGAGTTAATTATCCAATGCAGGGTTACATGTGATAAATGAGTATAATATTACCAAACGAGCGGAAATATTATACTCGCATGTTTATTTTAACTGAGTACAAGCACGACAACTTTTGGTTTTATTTCCGAATCCTACATACGGCATGCATATGAGTGCTATGGTTGCTCGACGTAAGGAGCTTGTAGGGCACTTAATATTTATTTTACTAATTATTGTAAAATTATTTTCTCTGTCCAAATGGATCATAAAGGATATATACATTCAATTTAGAGCTTTCATATTTTCACATCAACACTCCCCTTTTTCCCAGAAGAGGTAGATTTCGATTCCACCAGCTAGGCAAAAGGAATTAAAGCCAGTGACACGTTATTTTTAACTGTTTCCCACAAAAGTTGCAATTCAGAGTTAAAACACAAAAGCATTTAAATGTCATTTTTTTGCCCCAAAAATGCTCTTTAAAAATAAACTTTCCACAATGAAAGGCATCAGCTTGCAGGGTACAGAGTATCGTCCGAGTCGAGGACTTTGTTGTTTTCATTTGCTGTTTCCTTTCCTCTTTGTGTGTGTCTTGCCGAAAACAAAATAAACACTCCTTCGAATGTTAATTTTCCACGGGGAATCACTCGCAAATAACTTAATATAATAAATTTAAAAGGACAATTCCAAGAAAAAGCAGCTGGCGACAGTTGGACACAAGCAGCGGCCACGCTCAACCTCAAATGCTCCTCCCTATCCCTGCTTGCTGTTGCCATCTGCTGCCATGTCAGCGGCTTTTGTTTTTGCATTGGAAATTGCCAAAAGCACTGACCCGTAATGCTGGCCAGATACTATACACCGGATGCCAGACACCACGCTGTGAATGCTTGGGACTGGGCCCAACCTGGTCTCCTCTAGCTGCTGCCATTTCATTCTAATCCTAGTAGACACTAATATCGCTCAAAATATTCTGTTCCTACTTCAGCTGTTGTCAAACGAATTCTTGCGTAATCTTTCGGCTGCAGGGGCGCTTTATATGGGCCTCTAATCAATTGCAAAAAGTAGAATTATATAGAAGATAAGCCGAAAAATGGGCTGTGTTTTGTACTACAATTGAGTTCTAGACATAAGTTTGACAAGATGACGGCTCAATCTGTGGAAATGGCATTAAATTATGCTATTTAGCAAATCCAGTTAATTCAAGAGTATTTTACAACAAATTATTTAGTAAAAGCAAATACTTAAATTACATATTTGGAGTGAAAGTTTTCATAGCCGAATGCTCATTGTGGTTGTATTTCTATCCGGCTATGGGATAAATCCGATTATGAGAGATGCATGCTTACGGTAGAGGTAAAATATGTAAATATTAAATATGAAATTCAACTTCAACTCTTCGCAATTTCACGCACCGACAAGTAGGAACTTATAAACAGATCTTGAATATTTCAATTTGTTCGCTCTTTCCCCCGAAAATTAAAATAAACTATTTTTTTCATTAGAGGTATAGCGTTGCAGTGCAGTCAGGTGATAAAATAACACAAAATATCCAAACATAAAATAATAAATATAGATAACCGATATTGCATGGATTCGGTATTGATAAGTATTTTTGACGATTATACGGTATTAAGCTGTTTATGTGCCATTTGCAGCATACCAAAAGTATAACTATTGCTGCATTCAGCGTACGTGTGTTGTCGGAACTGTGGCAGGTCTTGGCTGGTGACCTGCAATCGTTGAATCGGGCATAATATAACTCATTTGAGGCGCGATAAGTTTCAAGTGGCTTCGAGGCTTCCATAAACCAGCTAGCCAAGTGTAAATACATAAAAGGGTGGAGGGGCCGGGTCGGTTATGTGGAAAGCAATAAAACACACTCAAGAGAAGGTTGGGGAAACTTTTTTTTGGTTTTGGTTTTGGTTAAGGGTCCGGGGGTGGGTGTGGGTGTGGATCCGGGACTGGAGCTTGATTGTGAATCTCAATGAAATGCTTAACCAATACAAAAATGCACAAAGGTGGGCAAATGTAATGAATCGGAAAACGGAAAAACCAGATGAAACGAGGCTAAAGGAAATCGCGCATGGCACAATTGTTAATAATCACAGACACGACCCAACCAACAACCCACAAGACAGCCTGCTTCTGTGGATCGGAATGGCGGCGGGGGACCATCCCATTCATTCATATGGCAAAATGGCCGACAGCGCCGGAATTGAAATCACTTTGGTTGTATTACGCGCCATGGCCAATGAACATGTCCCGTGATATCGGCGACAGTCGTCGTCGTCAACGTAATCTGCACTGACATTTGCGCCTGTAAGGAGCAGCCAGGATGTTGATATGATGCGGGTGCCAACCCATCCGCGACCCTAAGGGCCACGCCGTCAGTCTAACAGAGTTATTGTGAGGAAAAAAATAAGCAAAATGTTGGCAATATTGCGATTGTTTTGCATTCCTGACGTATTAATTAAAGAATAAATTGCAAAGGACATTATTTGCAAGGGCAATGTCAGGGCCGTCTGATGACGATTACGATAACGATGACAATGATGATCAAGTTAATGCTAGTAGGTAAATGATGTTATTTACGACCCACTGCGCACACAATGAATAACACGTATCACACATATCCCATTGACCCATTGTATAACTCGTTATTTGATCTTCCTTCTCTTACACAATATTAAACTGCAGTTGTATATTTAGCAAAGTATCTTATTTTGTAGGGGAGCATTATTGTATTGAGTATTGAGAAGAAGAAACAACAAAAGCTGCTTCGAGGCGAAAACTGGGTGAAAATCTCGCACGTTAGTGAAGAGCGAAAAAAGATTGAACAAATTGCAGTTTTTAATTTGTTGTTTATAAAATATTGACGCAACGAATAACACGTATCACACATATCCTCGTGACCCGTTGTATAACTCGTTATTTGATCTTCCTTCTCTTACACAATATTAAATTGCAGTTGTATATTTAGCAAAGTATCTTATTTTTTAGGGGAGCATTATTGCATTGTGTATTGAGAAATGTTTTTCTTTTATTTAAGGTAACTTTATATTTTAAGAGTAATTAAAAAGTATTACGTTGATATTACTTCAAATAGTGACTCAATCGGCAATAGGCGAAAAACTGTTCCACTACCCACGCTTCGCAACCGATAAATATTGAAAATATAGTAAAATTTTTACGAGATTTTACTCAGCTCTGTTAAGGCTTAACACCCGTAGTTTTAGCTATAAAGACGTTTCCTTTACTCTCTTACAACTTGTGCCAAATATGAGAAAACTATTGGAGCTTTAATGTCAATGTTGAATGTGTGTCCCGGAAAAACTGGGCCAATAATGCGCGTGAGGGGATCGCGAACTCAAGTTGATTAATTTGGCTGAGTGACAGCAGGCGCGACAGTTTCTATGGTGTTGCTATATGGCTAAATCCCAGGCGCAATTTGAGCACGCCAAATATTAACGAGTCGGTCCGGTCCCCAATGCCACACACTCTGCACACCCTGCACACTACCCCGCCATCGTCTGGTTGGTCCTCGTATATCATATGGCATACACTTCAGTTTATGGCTTTTTATTAGGCGGCTCATAAAGTTTAAAGGCGCGTAGAAAAAGTTTAGCCTACAAGTTTTCTCGTCTACTTTCAACTTGTGTCTATGACAGAAACATCCGGAATATGTGCCCTCCAATCAACCCCTCCCATCACAGAGGCAAACCTTAGGCCATTCTATTTCACAATGTAGTTAAATTTCATTGCATGTATCTCTATCTGAGGCAATTGTATCTGTAGCTGTTGTAGCTATGGCTAAAAATTCGGAAGTAGCCCATTGAGGAGACGAAGTTTTATGCCGTTTCAAACTTTATAGATAGTTATGGCCTCACATGAATTCATTGTACTATATGCATGTTATATGGTCTATCATCTGAAGTGTTTAGCATCATAAATTCCTAAAAGGAATGTAGGGCAACATCCTTAAATTTGCGCTTATCATTTGGCTAGGCAATTAGTTTCATTTTGTTTCATCGACGAACCGACTAGGGCAGCTGAGAACTTTTTATGCAAAGTTTTCTATTTATTTTTCAACTCATCAAATGCAGAAATGTTGCTTTAAATTTATGCTGGCAGCGTAACTAGCACACAAATTTTGGTTTTAAAAAAAGCTTTGTCTTTACTGGAAACTTTCGAAAAATATTTAGTTTATAATACTCATCAAAGAGCTGAATGAAAAAAATGCTTATTTAATATGAATTTAAGATCGTTAACGAGTGTTTTGCACCTAAAACCAAGATTCCGAGTCCAAGGATTTATTTTACGTTAATTCTTTTAAATGCAAACTTTTTAATTCAATTGAGTGTGCTGGAAAATGGGTAACAAATAGTGTTTGCAATAAATGAAATGAAAAGCACTTAAGCCTTGACCAACACACTACCGCAACTTCAAGAACGAATAACTTTAAGAGCTGGAGTAAACTAAACTTGGAATAAAGTAGAGCCACCGAGCTCTGTGGTCCTGCATGCCACACGGGGCAGATTCGAGGCGTGTTTTTGCTTTTGTTTTAGCCTTGTTGTTTTATTTTATTATTTATTTACGATGACAACAGTTTCCCCTGTACTCATAAAATAGCTTAAAAGGGTATGCGTTGATTTCAGAAGGTTTAGGTACTTTTCAATATGGATCTACATTCACAAAACTTTCCTTGCTCCCCTGAGCTCTAAAAAATATCTATTGCCAGCTTCTGACTATAGAAGAATTTTATAAATATACACATGTAGGTTACTAAAAGGGCTACTCAGATTAGGTATATTTCACTCCGCAGGAGCTTGGCGGAACTATAGGGAACTTTCATTAGGGTATTTCCCAGTCGGGCACTCTCGACAAGAACATTCTTGCTTTTGTTTTTCTGTACATGTGAAGTGCTAGTTGAATGTTGCTCGCATATTTTTGTTGTGTTTTTCTATTCTTTTTTGTTTTTGTTTATTTTTTTTTGTGATGCGTTTAGGCGTCAAAAGTTTGATCCATTTTTATGTGCGGGCGAGCCATAAATTGAAACGCCAAATTTGCCAGCGAAATGCTCAACTGTTTGTCAACAGAAAACAACAACAAAGTATTGAAACATGGCAATGACATTTGGGGGTCCAGGCCAAATAAACAGCAAAACCAAATAAAAGACCCAACCATGGCACAAGTTTGGCGGCCATATCAAGCGGACAGCGGATATGTGAAGTCGCACTTGTAATACCCTTTATATTGCGCTTTCATGTCCCAGTTGACTTGGAGGGTATCTCATTCACATTTTCCTATCAAATAATTTGTAAGCCGAAATAGCTTTGACATTATAAATTCCTGTTTAGCAACAAGAAGCGATACGATTTCTGTTTTGCCTATATCTACTTACAGGGTGTTCCATAGTCGAAATTTCCTACTTGTCGCCAAAGTAATTGTGATTTATATGCTATGCTAGACGGCACAACATATCGACCCGGCTTCACATTTCCTTTCTAGGCCCGTGCCTGTCCTTGCCAATGTCAGCGAATGGAGCTGTGTAAATTGCTCTATGAGTAGCATTAGACGCGAGCTCCACAAGTGCATATATTAGCACGGGGTGTTCGAATATAGGCACATGGTCACACACGCGCGCTCACACACACACACGCACGCACGCACACTCAGACAAATAGGCGAACAACTGCAGTTAGTGGGTTATCATTGTTGTTGTGATGATGTTTGTGTTGAACGACAACATTGGCCACAAGTGCGGGTTGCTTCGCCACATCCTTCCGGCTTGAAATTGCTGTGACACGCCATGCTGTTGTTCTCGTCCACGTTAGATGTCGCACTCCACGATTTGCACACCTTGTTGCTTGCTGGGCCAAGGTGCTAAGAGCTCTCCGTGAATGCCTGAATGCGCCCTCCAAGCATGGACGTAGTTTGTCAAAGCAAACATTTTAACTGGAGAAGTAGCTCTTAAAGCTAAATTGGGCATTGAATTCTTTTAGAGCAGTATGAGAAATATTTGAGAAATAAAATTATAAAAATATATAATAAACGTAAATAGGGCTAGAAATCAATTTGGAAGCACGCAGAAGAGCACCAAGATTTATATGCAACTGAAAGCGTATAGAAGCAATATAGATCGCATCATATTTTCGGAACGATACTCGAGGAGATTTAAAATATTTTTTTTTGTAAAAATATTTAAATTGGGGCTTACCTAAAACGTATTAAATAATGTTAAATATCAAAAAAAAAAAAAAAAAACATAACCACAAACCGGCAACCTTTTTATATTTTAGTCTTAAAAACATATTTTGAAAACAAAATTATGTGTTCTGTTAAAAATAATAGAAAACATATATCTACATAAGTATATTTGCAATTTCGGGGTTTTCTTTAGACCTACAGCAGAATGGAGTTAAGTAATAAACTTATCGAATCGAGCTTAATTATGGGACACATTAAAATACGAAGTCCATGTGAATTGCATTGCTATTGACTATAAATGTTAGATTATGGATAATAGATACTACTTATAAATTTGGCTTACATACAAATTAATAGACAATTGTGGCGAAAAGCCGGCCGCAGATCTCTTGAATTTCATTCGTATTAAATTCATTCAAATTTAAAAGGTGCGCAGGAAAAATGTTGCTTAACAAAATCATCATTTGGGGAAACTTTTCCGCGATGTGAAAGACCGCTTCTCTTGCTGCACGAAGATTGCTTTGTATACAGTTTGTTTTCCCTTGGCACTGGTGAAATGCAACTTAATTGCAAAATATACACTACAATTTGGCTCTCCCTTGGAGGGAATGCCAGCATTATTAAGTTGTACATTGGCTTCGACGCCATTGTCTGTCTCTAACGCCGGCTTTGGATGCCAGCTGCTAGCTCATGCTGAATGTATGTACATACATATAAGGACTGGGACTGCTGTCTGGTCTGCATGTCTGAGTGTCTGTTGCTAAACAACAACAATGTGTTCTTGGCTGTGTGTGACTGTGTTAGCACAGTGGCTCAAGTTTCAATCAAAGCATTTTACAAAATTGTCACAAATGCTGAAATTTGATACTTGCTTAGGAATTGCACTTAGTTTATTTTTGTTTTGTAGATAGAAATGCTTTAAAATATTAATGTCTTATACTTATTTAAACCGCAAGCCGGCTTAAGATCGAAATTCTAAGTTTTTTATAATTATTTTTTTAATCTAACCATATTTGGTTAATGCGATTAAGCAGAACTTAAGATTAGCCTAAGATGGCAGACCACGCCCCAAGTTCAAGAATGTCGAAACCGTCACGAACCGCACCGAAAGGAGCTGGTTTGAACCTTAAGCCGACTAACCGAGTAAATTTATAAAGGTAACTACCAAACTTCTAAGGAACTTCACTCAAATATTTTCATATTTGTATCTCAAGCGATTAACACAGTACACGTAAGGCACAAGTTGGACTATCAATTCTTCGCACAATGAGGATTCCAAGTCCAGGCTAGAGTCTGTATGTAGTATGGTATAGTAGCTACTGCTATTAAAGTTAGTTATTTTGAACTCTTAAAACTTTACTCTATAATTTGTTATAAAATAATTTAGCATATGGGCTAATGTCATCAGATGAAATGCGGCTGATTAAGAATGCCAGTTGCACAGTGCAGCTGGTTACATGCTTCTGTGACTCTGACAGGGCTCCAATCCTGGCGGAACGCTGTCAGCGCGACGTCGTTGTCCCTGTCGTGTTTGTCACTCCGCGCTGAGCACTGTGTGTGTGCGTGTGTGTTTGTGGGTGCAGTGAGTGTGGTAAGTAGCAAATATATTGCAAGCTACTTTCAAGCACTGGAAAATATGAGTTTACGCCAACAATAAGCAATATATATGCATGTATACACGATGTATTGTATGGAAATTGTGTCTGCTTTTGGAGTAGACGTCACTTATGTCGCCATTCTGCAATTTCACGCAATTTCCGTGTGTAGAGCCGCGAGCTAGTGACAAATTTGGCGGCGAGGCATGAATAATGCTCACATATTAATCAGAGAGCGGGACAGGCTCGAGCGACGGAGTGGAGGAGGGGTGTTAGCGCGACGTAGTGGGAGCCGCACCCAGATTAGAGGCCACAAAGCGTGCAATCAATTGCTTGACTTACCTGAAAGCCAACCAGGCTCCAGACCTCCTCCTCGGTGGAGAAAACGCAGGCGGTGCCCGCACGTCCATGATACTGATAGATCCGTACCGAGTGGGCCAGGGCTACGGGTATAGCAGTCGTCACAATTGTTATCCAGGCGCACATAATAGCGCTGCGTGCAAAAAATGAAAATAAAAAAAAAATAAACAAAATAAACAGCAGAAAAAATGAATTCAAATGGGTTAGATAATTGGCAGCCATTTGAACGTCTGTTTTTTATTTGCATGTTCCTGTCAAGCTTAGCATGCAATTTAATTTAATTTTTTAATTCAATTAAATGTCAAGAAATTCGATTTTTTTCTGACATGTTTATCGAAGCTGTTTATTAACCTGGCGGTTAATCTAACTGGAAAATATTACACATGAAAATAGTATACTTATGGCACACAGCACTAATTAATAGTTAAACATACAATTGGAAGCCTTGGCTCGTTGAATAAAAATATACAAAAATAAACGTAATAGTACAAAATATTAAAAATATAAAATATAAAAATAACAAGTAAGAGGTTCTAGTCGGGAGCTCCCGACTAGGGGATACCCTGAACCCTCTTCTTCCAACATCAAATGCATATATATATTCTTTTTTAGAAGCTATAGCTCTTATTATTTACCAAAAGTGCCCAAAAAACAGGATATTGATATCGATTTTTATCGATTGCTCGGAAAAGGAGTAAGTTATCGGTTATCGGAAACAAACTCGATCTGCGCAGGCACTAGGAGCACCTACATCTAAAATTTCAAGACAGACGGACGGACGGAAAGACGGACAGACAGACAGACGGACATGGCTAGATCGACTCGGCTATTGGTGCTGATAAAGAATATATATACTTTATGGGGTCGGAGATGCTTCCTTCTGTCTGTTACATCCATTTGGATTTTGCACAAATACAATATACCCTTATACCCATTAAAAATGGGTAAAAAAATATATTTATTCTACAAAATTAAGAGTAAGTATAAAACAAATTTTAGTAATTAAATAAATAATTATTTCAAGAATTTAAAAATTTAAAGTCTATTTGTTAAAGATATTGAAAAGACTTTAAATTTTACCGAAGAAAACAAATACAAATTTCAAGCTAAAATCAATTTATAAAAAAAAAATCAATCCAATCGTTGAATATGCTTCGTAGTTTAAGTGTTCTTAAACTCACCCTCATACATCTATCAAATACATTCAAATGTGTGTTCTTTTGTGGATTAAGTTGAGTCGAATCCCAGTTTCGATATGAAGATTTATTATTTGAAAAGCACATACGCTCAACATTGTGCCATGTACTCAAAGTGATAAGTGTACACACTACTAAACTACAGCCGTGTGCTAAGCCAAAGAGCACCCAAAGCAACTCGAGCCAACTTGTGGCCCAAACTAAGCCATTGGCCAAACACGAACTAATTGACGTAATTACAGTCACTATCAGAACAAGTGTAGAGTATTGTTACTTACAGAGTGGCGTTACGTTCGGTGCGGAGGGACATGCTTGTGACGGGATGCACGACGGCCAGGAAGCGATCGAAGGACATCAGGACGAGGGTGTAGACACTGTAACGCAGCACGATGTTACACTGGCCATATTAAGCTTTCAGCAAACTCACCTGCAGTGGCATGTTACCACAATCATATACTGCACGAATTTGCACCACAAATTGCCAAATGGCCACTCCGGCAGCACATAGTCGGTGGCCGTGAACGGCACGCAGAAGATGACGAAGAGTATGTCCGAGACGGCCAGGTTTATAATCAATAGGTTTGTGGTTGAGCGCATTTGTTGGTTAACGACCACCACTAAACGACATGTAGGGAAATGTATGCAGAGAGAAACAATGAAACAATGTTGGGTGGGTGTGGGGGGTAGGTGAAAAGTTCATTAGTTTGATATTTGGTATTTCCATGTTCCAATATGTATAGGATTAATTATTACTTCGATAATATTATGATACCCTAGCTGAGGATTTACGTATATTAAGCGAGGTATTTTGGACTTTGATTCATTCTGACCAGAAGATATATATATATATATATATATACAAATAATATAGAAATAACTAGCACATCTGATATCTATTTGCCTGCGAGCAAAAATCAATTTTTAGAAGGAAATCTATATCATCAAGCAACTATGCGCGGATGTTCTAAAGGGTATTTCATGTTCTGCACATTAGAGTTAACGGCCCTTTTTGCAGAATATCAGCATCAGGTTCTTTGTTTGCATAGCCCGTAAGCCTTTCATTATGTTATTAGGTTATTTTGTTTCAGTTCTGATTGGCTTCCTTTATTTGCTATTATTATAATACTTTGGGTTGTTATATATTAATATGTGTTTAGCAATTAGCACCTCCTTTGTTTGCATTCGCATGAATGCTGAGCCTTTAATTATATTTGCATTAAACTTGAAATTCCCAATAGACCAAGTCAGAAAATTGCCTTGCTCACAAGTTGAGAAATTCCTAAGCTCTCCATTGTGCTGTGTGGTTATAGGTTTAATAAAAGTTCACTCTTTGTCTGTGGATAAAAATCAAATCAATTTAAATGCCAAGCTGGCTAAGAAAGTTTTGTTATAAATATATGTTTTGCTGCCATTCAAAATGGCGAGCTTTGCGTCTTTCGATAAATGTCAGCTACGAAGAGCAGGTGCTTAGTAAGGCAAATCAACTATACTATATACTCGCTTAGTTAGGCAAATCAACATTATGCTCTGTCATTAAATATGTGTTTCAATATTTCGCATTTGCAATAAAATATTAATATGAAAATGTAGTGGAATATGTCAAAATATGCTGTTCAAATTAGGAAATTGTGTGGAAAATAGTGAATCGCTAAAATCATATCCAAATATCCAAAGGCAAAACACACAGAATTTAACATAATTATTGATTGGACTATTTAATGTGTCCATTATAAAATTAATTTGGGTAATACCCAAGGTTTCATGAAAAACTTAACAGATAAAAATGACGAAGCAAATGCTCGTTGATATATTTTTAAAGTATTTTTAAACTATGGCAGAGAGTATTAGTATTCTTGATATAGACAGGTTCCTCTGTTTGTTGCTTTGCAAACTTTTCCCTCTTTGAAAACTATCCATTGTTGCGTCCTTAAAAACTTTACCAAATTTGCGATTAACCAGTTATACTATTTGTAAAATCCGATCAACATCGGATTACTAACTCGTATTGTATGGAAAGATTTTCTGTTTTTCAAGATATCTTAACCAAGCTAATATATTTGGAAAACCGTATTCATATATTATCACTTTATAGCTCTAACAGAAATAATTGTTTGGAAATGCGGTTCTTTCTTGTTATTGTTATCGATGTCATTCCTCAAAATATTCGATAGTTTTGCTGCACTTAATGCTAGATAATCTTAATCAGTTAGATAACACAAACAGATCTGAGTTTGGGTTCTAGCTTGTGGATAATTTGAATGGGATAATATGTCTCCTATTTTATGGGCCATTCAGCAGCTGTTCCTCTTGAACTTTCTTATCTCAGCTCCAACTTTAAACAACATAATATTAAATATCTTACAACTATTTTAACTTGCTTTTTAATAGCAGTACACAAGGCAACACTCTCTGCAGCGACACAAGCCAATTCTGAGCTGATCTGTGACCCCAGACAACTTTCTTGGCTGAAAGAACTGTATCTTCGCCGCCCAACGCCCAAGTTTTCCTGCCAATTACGCGCAGAAAGATGAAACTCAAAGCGACTGTAGCTGGACCTGGAGCTGGAGCAGGCTCCCGCATTGTTTCCAAGCAGGTCCTTGTTAACTTCTTTGTTGTTGCTCTTCCTTTGCTCTTCGATGCTCCCTTGTTGCTGTTGTTGCTACACAATTTGCTTGAGCGGCAGCGGCGACAGACGAAAGCCACTTGCAATTAGCCAAACAATTTATGTTTCTCTGTTGAAAAGTAGCGCAGCGGGTGAATTCTATAGAGCCTTCAGGGGGTTGGGTTGGGGGCGGTTGAGTTGTATTGTCACTGTCACAACAAAAGTGGCCTCTAGTCGCGTGCAAGTGTGGTGGGGCACATGCATGATTTGAACGCTTCAATGGATTGATGGGGCACGCTGCCAACAAAATAGCAAACGATGGTGTGTGTCTATGTTTGCGTGTGTGTGTGTGTGTCTGAAGGGACTGTAGGTCACTAAAAGTGCAGCGTGGCGAGCAATTTTTGGTAAAAGGAAATTTTCGCCATGCGAAGCTACATATAGAAAATGAAGCGGCTTATACCCTGTACTTTCGTGTCACAAGAAGACTTGTTGTATACTAAGAATCGCAGTGAAAAGTCGATATTGTGGCACAGCTGTTCTATAGATAGTTTCAAGGGGCGCTGGTTTCAGATATATGTGAAATCTTTGAAATGCGTCACTAACATCAGACTGAACCCTATTGTTGAAGATGGATCTGAAGGTTGTACAGCGTTTCCTTAAGGCAGAGAATAAGACACGACTCTAGTTATTGAGCTCATCTTCTTAACATTGCCTATTTCAATCAATTGATTGTTTCGATCTGCTCACATGAAATTCCTATCTGATTAAGTTCTATCATGAAATTCATGATTCATCCGCCGCTTGTTTGAAATTCTTTCATTATCAGGGTTACGGATGTGACGGCGGCGACATTATTGAAGCGCTTTGCAGTTGAGAATAAGAATTGTATGATCCTTAATTCACTTACTATTCAACTATCGGACACCATTTTCATATTATAGTTTCAAAATTGCATCCGGTAAGCTTAAATTTAAATAACAATTTTATTAAAAACAAATAATATCTGTCATATTATTGAATTCAGGAGATAAAACTACATAACATAAATAATTAATAACAAAAATAATATAGCCACAGCATTATCCATCCAGCATTAACTACAAGGTAACTCAAAATCGTGCACTCTCGAAGCGAGAACATTTACTTGTTATACGTATTTGTTGCTGATGTTTGACTTGTTGTTTGTTGTTTGCTGCCGCTGTTCGTGTTGCTGCTGCCGCAAATCAATTTCCTTTGAAACATATTTAGCACAGGATGTCGAGCGGCAGGAGGTGGGAGTAGGGAAAAATAAATAAAAAATGACAGCAACAGCAACAGCAAACAGCAAAAAGTGGCAATAACAGCAACAGAGAAGTCACAAAATTCGAACAATAAATATAAGTTGCCTTGGTTTGTCTTGGGGCCAAATGGCCGCGTGTGCCACATGAGCTATTTTTTTTTTTTGTTATTAATATTCGTTATTATTGTGTGGGTAAGCATACGTAGTACTCATTTTGAATGCTTGCCACTTTGCAGGTGTGGCTTTTTTCAAATTTTCTTATATGCTTATTACAGCAAGTGGCTTCTCAAATTTGGTAGCGTAATATCATTGAAGATAGTTGAAAAATGATTGTGCAGTTCGGAATCTGTTTCTCAGAGTAAAAAGAACATTTCAAAAGATAAATCAACCTATATAGGACATTATTTAATAATATCATTGTAATGTCATTGTCTAACATAACAAGATATTATATAGTCAGGATTTTGTGAAGATAGCTTCTTATACCAAAACATGTGTAATCGTCATGCCTATTGAATAGCATGCTCTGATATCCACCGTCTGAGAGGAGTAGCCTTTATTATTATCGTCATATTCAGGGCAGACATAGAAATCTCTGCTAACCCAAGTGCAATTCTCGCATTTTTTTGGTTGGTTTCAGACCTCATGTATTTTTTCGAGAGATTAGGTCAAAAACACCCTCGAAAAAAATGGATTAAATAAAACCAATGAACGAAATGTAAACTACGTGCCTTTTGTGAGTATTCCGCAAATTCCGTTTAAAGCTTTTCATATTAGTTTGCTTAATAATATTTTATTTTGCAACAATTCCAGTCAACTATTGGTAATCTAACCGTAATGATGCCAATTGGCCATAAAAAGAATTTCAAATTTTTCCTGGTATTTGTTAAATTGAATTGATCAGGGACTTTTGTCTCTTTATGAATACAAATTCAAAGTAACGACCGGCACATGCTCTAATTCTCCATCGAGTTCGTATTAAATATGTATTTAAATGCTGTTTCGGAAACTGTGCTCTGATGAATTTGCAAACTAAGGCTACAAGCTAATGCCATATGTGTATAATATGTAATGCGCGCAATACATTTAGAAGAACAGACAATTGTAAATTATATATTGAACCGTTTCATTAAAATCTGGAAAATAAATGGCCAGCCCAAGTTTGAGGCAAAATCGGTATTCAAGAAGCTGGAAAACTTCGTCCAAAACCTAATGGAAATCAATTTAAACTGTTAACCAAACCTTTCACTTATGCATATGCATATACATATTTCCTAAACTCATGAGTGAATCAGTTAAATCTCTTATGCTGCTTGGTATATCCGCATGAGGGTTCCTTTATGATATAAAACACTTACGTGTTTTAGACTGCTGTGCCACAGCAATATAGTATAGTACCCCCTTTAATACATAAGTATATATTCTAAGTATAACTAGTTTAAGCTGTCATGTAGCATATCACTTGTATAATTATATAAAACATAGAAAACTAAAAAAAAAAAGAAAAAACGCCGATTGTTCCCATGGAAATTAAGCATGTCGCCTGCAGCAAGGAAAATTGTACACGCCATATTTTATATAGATTTTAAAAGGGGATACAAATATTGAATAGAAACAGAGAGACATTGCCATGGTTATGTATACCATATAATTTTCCGAATTCGAGCTGGGTTGCAAATTTCGTAATAAATACAGTGATAAATTCATGATAGTTCCCGCTGGCCACAAAAAGTTTT